ATATTTATACATTTATTTCCAATAATGATAGGTTTGGTCCTCCATACGTACGAACCCTTTGTACGAACAAAAGTAAGAGAAATTTAGGATAAGAATACGAACATGTTCTTGCATGAGGCCCAATGTTGAGGAGCGCCATCACTCAGAGTACAGCTGTTGTTCCAACACATTCAAATCACTCAGATGAGGTGTTTCAGATATCAAATTAAGAACCTCCCCGGTCACACCTTTTGTAGATTTTCCCACTAAGAAGAGACCCCTCAGGGCAGACCCACAACTTGATGGAGAGAATATGTATCCTCACTGGCCTGAGACGAGATGGAGCTCCCCCAGGAGGAGCTAGAGTGTCAATGAGGAGAAAAACATCTGGTTTTCTACCTGAAAGTGGTAGCTCTGCAAGCCAACTAATTACAAATAAGCAAAATGAAATCAATGGATGAAAGAACTAAAACAAAWATGAATCTGGTAATGCTTTTACCACAACCTCAGTTTCCTCCTGATAACTCATTATGTCGAACTCCCACTATTTCTTTAAAAACGGTCAATAAATTCAYTGTTTGCAATTACAGAGATGCAGACACTGCTCCAAACATGAGTTTTTTCTTTCATATTTTTGTCACCATACCTGACGCCACTTACAGTACCTGCAGACTAATTGTTCAATTGTCAGTGGCCATGAAAGAAACAACAGTTTGTCTGCATGAGGTAAAAAACAAAACAAAACAAACAAAYAAATAAATAACTCAAAAACAAGCACACAGCATGTGGTCCCGGCTCTCAGCAGGTATGCAATCAGCTTTCAGAGGACCAAAACTGCAATATGTCCCTCATAGAAAACAAGCAGCACCTGTGTTTGTGGCACAGACACCCAGTGCCTCCCACTGTCCGCCCCTCAAAAAAGGAACATCAAGAGCTTTAGTGTCACACTGGCCTTTTCACAGCATGTTTGTAGAGAGAGTTGACAGGAAAATGAGTGGTGTGCGTTGTAATAAAGGGGAGGCAATGATATAATTTTATAGCTGAGTGTTTTAGGCAAGCGGAATGGTCGCAGGATGGAAAATTCTCATAATTATGCAAGTGAAACCTTAATTAAATCTGTGAGAGAACGGGTAAAATTACAGTGACAGAACTCATGGGGTGAAAAAAATCAGTTTTTTTCTGAAAAAAGAAAAAAAATAGACATATAAATAAATCAAGCTCTGAGAAAAAACAAAAAGCCAAGAGACAAAAAGAAAATATGGCGCCCGTCCGGTGACACTGGATTAAAAACTTATCTCAGGCCACGAGATAATAATGAGCAGCATGGTACAGACAACGTTGTTTTTGTTTTTAACTGTTCAAAGGTAGCTTACCTCACACTTAATAATAATAATAATAA